TATATATATATATATATATATATATATATATAGATATAAATAAATATGTGCTTGTAAATTTAAAAACTAAAGCAATATAAAAAATGCTTTAAATTATATAATTTAAAAATACTAAAATTACAAGCTAATTAGAAACTAAATATGTAATAATTAAAAAATTACTAAAAAGCTTTATGGCTTATAAAAAAATTGTGCAACGTACAAGCCGCAAATGTTTAAGTTGAATAAAAGCTTTTATCACAAAAAAAAAAAACAAAAAACAAAAAACAATTAAACTATGTAAAAAAGAGAAATAAACGTATTTATCTTACAAATGAACATGCAAGGGTAGCATGACTGTATACACAAATACATATGCATATATTTGCCATGTGTGTAACAGCTCTATAAATCACTTGCAAGACAAAACTCGTTTCGCTTAGTTTTTGACCTATTAGAAGTGGATTAATGGAGCGATGAGATCATAGTTAATTACTTAACTCTGTTATCAACAACACACTTCAAAGCGCAACAGAATGAGCAGAGTTTCAAGTGAAAGTACACAAAGTCCATATATGGTACACATATATACATATATCATTATTAGTAGATAATACCTGGTACGTTCTTTGGGTTTCATTTTCCATGCCGAACGATTCGCATTGCTATGCTTTCAAGTTTTTACTTCCTGGCAGCTGATGTACTATATGTGGCCAGCCGAGCAAGGCAAAAGGTGTGCAACGTGCTCGGCATTAATTCAACTGCCTTATAGACAAGTTATCAAAACAAATTGAGCTGTCCTTAAGTTGAGCTCAAAATGAAATATTTGACCCATAAAATGTTAAGTCTACGCCTACAATTTTGCGTGGGAAAATTTGATACAGTACGAAATCATCAAAATCTATTATAATGCAATTAACATGCGGAAACACGCCTTATTTAGACTCCATAGCTCCATTTGGCATTACGCATTGATGATTAATTTTGCCTATGGTTCATTTGACCATGAACACAAAAACGAAATCCATAACTAAGATTAAATGCAATAAATTCGAAAATTCCAAATTCATGGACATTTTTATAGCCGTGCTCTATTCGCATAAATCCAAAACTCATTTGTAATTGCATCAAATTCAAGTGCTAAAACCAAATTGCTATGGACTAATCCACATACAAGAAAAGAAACAATAAAATTGATATAAAAAACGAGATTAGATACGCCTAGGCTGGGCGCGTGCTTCAATTCTAGGAAACATTTTCATTTTTTTCATTCGATTTTTTTTTTCGGCGTTGTTGTTGATACTGGATTATTGGGCGTTATCAAAGTGTCGCCCATGTTGTAGGCGGCGTTGACCCATTGTAAATTGTAGCTATATCTTCATTGTTGATTACTAATTTATGATAGTTCTGGACAGCAAATATTTCGCTGATAAATTTCACTTGTAGTGCCCATACAAGGAATTTAAAATGTCAATTATTGAAATTGATTGAGTTGTAAAAGAAGGAATTTTTGATTAACAAAGTAAATCTTTAAAAATTTGTAAAAATTAAGCAGGTTTTTTTCGACGTGAGAAAAATAAAAAAGAAATTTATGAATGAAAAATTATAAAAAGAAAAATAAGAAATAAATATACAAAATATTTGAAAAAAAAAAAAAAATTAAGTTCTGTTTATTTTTTTGTTTATATTCTTTGATTCAGTTTAAAGCAAAAATATGAATATTTATTAATTTTTTTTTTTTTTAGCATATGTCTCTTTAGTATAAATAAACTGTGCTTCTGTCTTCTAATCAGCTGAAGGTGCAAAAAAATTTATTTGTTAATAACAACAAAATAACAATGAAACCATATTGTATATAAATTGTTTGAGCATGAAACGCGATGGAACGAGTCGATTTATGAAAGCTGAAACTTATTTGAAATTTGCAATTTATCTAATCACGTTTAATGCCTTGTTCTGTGTATTATATTCACACTTGTGTGAGTGTGTATGTGTGTGCGTGTGTACTTGTGTGTGGGTATTGTTGCAGCCGTGTTCGGCATGACAAATCGCTTTGAGTTGAGCCATTAAAAGAACTTGTTGCGATATGGAAAAGCTTGAGCTCGAGCGTCATAACATGTTTGCCTTATCGTCAGATGCATTGAGAGCTGTATGCGATAAGATAATCATGACCTGGACAATTTCCAAGTGCTTCAATTGTTTCTAAATCGTAGCACAAGTAATACTTGCCATAAGTAATGAGGTTGTGGATTTTTCTCTATCTGAGATTCGATCGTCTTGCAATATTGACATAAATTAACTAAAAATAAATATAGATTAAATATATAAAATTTTACACAAATTTGAGCAGTGATTTACTTATATTAAAAAACACAATACGAAAAATATTTAATAACAAATTTAATTCAATAAAAATAATAAAATAAATGAGTAAATTAATTTAATAAATATGTATAGAATTATTAAAAAATTATTTAATTATTAATACGATATATTATATATTAAAAATTATTTAATTATTGTATTACCTAAAATTATTTATATCACAATTTAATATACATATATTGAAATTATTTAATATTGATATTAATCAATGAATTTCATTTGAATTTGCAGTCATGTTGAAACTGTGGAATGCCCTGACTCGCCGTAAAACGGACGATGTCCATGAGAGCGAATCGATGTTGGCCCGTGTGCTGAATCTCTTTGATCTGACGGCGCTCGGAGTGGGCAGCACATTGGGCCTGGGCGTCTATGTGCTGGCTGGCCAGGTGGCGTACAATATCGCGGGTCCGGCTGTGACCATCTCCTTCCTGATAGCGGCCCTCGCGTCGGCATTTGCGGGCATTTGCTATGCGGAGTTTGCGGCTCGTGTGCCCAAGGCGGGCAGCGCCTACGTCTACAGCTATGTGACCATTGGCGAGTTTGTGGCCTTCACGATTGGCTGGAATCTAATATTGGAGTACGTGATTGGCACGGCGTCAGTGGCACGTGGCCTGAGCGGCTACTTTGACTCGCTGATCGATAACAACATGTCGAAGGCGCTCTTCGAGGCGATGCCCATCAATGTGAGCTTCCTGGGCGACTATCCGGACTTTTTGTCCTTTGGCATGGTTCTGCTGCTCGCTGCTCTGTTGGCTTTTGGTGCCAAGGAGTCCAGTTTCTTGAATAACATCTTTACCACGGTCAATTTGGTAACAATTGGAATCGTTCTCGTGGCTGGCGGCATGAATGGTAAGAAGACTTATATGAGAATTGCAAAGAGAGGCGACTAACAATTAATTTTCTTTCCTCTATCTATAGCCAATCCGGACAACTGGCGCATTCCAGCCAGCGAAGTGCCTTCCTGGGCCGGTACTGGCGGCTTTATGCCCTATGGCATAGCCGGTGTTATGGCTGGCGCTGCCAAGTGCTTTTATGGCTTTGTGGGCTTCGATTGCATCGCCACCACCGGCGAGGAGGCCATCAATCCCAAGCGCAACATTCCCTTGGCCATTGTGGTATCGCTGATCATCATCTTTCTGGCCTACTTTGGCGTCTCCACGGTGCTGACCATGATGCTGCCCTACTATCTGCAGGATCCGGATGCACCATTCCCAAAGGCCTTCGATTCCGTCGAATGGTATACGATCAAATGGATTGTGACGATCGGAGCCGTGTTTGCGCTCTGCACCAGCCTGCTGGGCGCCATGTTCCCACTGCCCCGCATTCTGTATGCCATGGGCAACGATGGCATTCTCTTCAAGCGTCTGTCCAAGGTGCATCCATATACGAAGACGCCGCTGCTGGCCACAATCATCTCTGGCATATTTGCAGCCGTGATGGCCATGTTATTCAACCTGGATCAGTTGGTTGACATGATGTCCATCGGCACACTGCTCGCCTATACGATTGTGGCCATTTGTGTGCTGGTGCTGCGCTACCAGGATGAGCAGATGACCAAAGTGGTCTCCATACGCGCTCCGAACGTAATCCGGCAGTTCTTCTGCAACAGCTACAAGGTGCCCAATACGATGACCTCGGCCATAACCAAATTCGCCATCGTGATCTTTGCCATCTTCTGCATCATCTGGTGCATCTTCATGCAGGTCTTCGACACAGCCGCAACTGGTGGCATTGTCGGGCTCAGTGTTGTCGGCTTACTGCTCATTATCATTTGCATTGTGATCGCCCTGCAGCCGGTGTCGACGATTGAGCTTACGTTCAAGGTGCCGCTGGTGCCGTTTGTGCCCTGCCTGAGCGTCTTTGTCAATTTGTATTTGATGTTCCAGCTGGACCTGTTTACGTGGATACGTTTCCTCATCTGGATAGCCATTGGCTATTGCATCTACTTTGCCTACGGCATTCGCAACTCAACGCAAATCTCGAGAAATCGCAATCACGCCGAGGTGGCTGCCAATGCCATGCAAAACTCGGACTCCCATCACCAGGAGCACGAGAATCGCGCCTTCGAGCCGGACTGGAAGCTGGAGAACGGCATTAAGCCGCAGTACGAGTATTCAGAAAAGCTGTAAAACGATCTAGGAAACTCGAACGTGTATAGCAGAGCAAGTATTATAAGTTGCCTTATAGCTTAAGGCTGTGCCCCATGGCTGAATAACAAATGAGCTGATATTATCATATAATATTATATTCACTAACCATTTTAAATCAGGGAACAAAGAACAAAAAACATTTTGTTTTTATTACAAAGTATTAGGTAGATTTTTTTTATATTTTATATTTTAAATATATATAAAGTTTTATAAAATATGATTGCAGTGAAGTATATCAAAACATAAATTATTTTAAATATTTTATTTAAAACCCAGTAAAAAATACTAATAATTCATTTATTTTTAAACAAATTTTAATTGTGCACTTTCTGTTAACTAAACCGAAAAGACTCTGTATTAAATATTTTCATTCATAAATAATTTTTTTTTTGGCAATAATAGCTACATTATTGAACAAAAAAAACTTATTATTTATAATAATGATAATTACGACTTGTGAAATTTATATACATAATATTCATATATATATATATTTATATATTATTATCTGCTCATTTGTTAGTCAGCTGTGAAAACAGGTTTTTAAAATTTTCTTAGTTTATACAATGTTCGAGCCCGTAGTAAACCCCACTTATCTTGCTTGTAACTTCAATTATACTCTGAGTTTAGCTTGCATGTGTTTGTGAGAGAGATGAATAGATTGCGCATAAAAATTAAATGAATTACCCATTAGACAGTAGAAGTCTCGTCTTCCAGAGTCTTTAGAGAGTTCTCTTGGGTTTTTTGTTATTTCTATGCGCCAGAAATTTAGACACACACGACTTCCTAAAGGCCGCTCAATGCAGATTTTTTAAATATTATTTTATTATTTTTTCATGTTCTTTATTTGTTTTATTTTATATAAATTTTGCCGCCTTTTGATTTCTGTACATAATGCCCCCGAAATGTTGTGATATTTCTAAATATATATATGTATATAGAGTTTTAAAATGTTCGCATATATCGATATATATTTGTGTCACAATTATTGTTGTCGTTATGTAAATGCAGTTTGTAATGTAATTTAAAATATTTTCATAGATTTGTATGCAATCTTACAATCCTAAGCTAGTACTGTATTTATGTTATTTAGCCAATAAGTCAATGCTCCCGCCCTACCCCCTACCGAAACCAACCATGTACTAAGTTCAAAGAACGAGAAACGAATTTGCCCCCGCATTAAAATGTTGATTAAATAAAACAAAATGTTGAATGAATAATGCAAAAAGTGTTTGCGTCTTGGTTCTGAATATAAAACAAAATTAATGGAAGCTTTAATCTGATCAAGTTGTATTTTATTTCTTATTCGATTTTTGAGTTTATTGAAGGTTAAATCTAATCAAGTTGTATTATATAAATAACTGTAGCAGGTGTTTTTTTTACCCCCCATGGATTGCACTCTTGATTAAGTTTACCCTTTAAACATACGCTAAGAAAGCACCTATGATCACATGAATTACTTGTCGTAGTCAATAGTCAATATAGCCTAGGTTTTCTGGTTTAATTTACATTAAAATAAATAACAATATATTAAAAAATTTTGACAAAGCTAGTTTTAAGATATATAAATAAATTTTACATAGATTTGACTATTTTTAAATTATTATAAATGATGACCTCTGACAAGTTGATTCAACGCTAAAGAAAAAGAACCAAAGAAAATAATTAATTAAAAGGGATTTCGAAACGTGAGCATATTGCTTGCAGAGTATCTGCTATTTAGTGAAGTATCTGGTTCTTTTCTTAGCTTATCTAATCCCTTAGATTCAATATAGCATCAGTCGAAACCTTAGTAGCAACAAGATAAAGAACTGATTTCTATAGCTTGATCAAATATTTTACTTTGCTAAACGTAAACGTCTAAATTTCTATATATAGATTAGATTTGTTGATATATATTTAAATATATTTAAATAAATATTCACATTGCAGAAGCTGAGTTAACCTTAGGTTGATTGCCAAATTTGCGGTTAAGGAAATTTACAATGTCGATATGTGATCGTATGAGGAAGGGACCTAAGGCACCTGCCGATGATATCGATGACTCCAAGCGTTACTTGGATATCTATAAACTGATTGCATTGGGCTTGGGCGGCACTCTGGGTCAGGGCATTTATGTGCTGACCGGACATGTGGCTCACGTGCTAGCTGGGCCGGCAGTGACCCTGTGCGTTTTCATTGCGGCATTGGTGTCGATCCTTGGGGGCATCTGTTATGCGGATCTATCCTCGCGAGTGCCGCGTCCTGGCAGTGCGTACATCTACAGCTATATGATCATGGGTGAGTTTGTCGCCTTCAACGTCGGCTGGAGCATGATGCTTGAGTATGTGACGAGCACGACGTCGGCGGCACACAGCCTCTCTGCCTATCTGGATGCCCTATTCGATCAAAGGCTATCGCTATCCAAAGTGCATTCCCTATGAATACCAGCTACACATCAGGCTATCCGGATTTTCTGGCCTTGGCTCTGATCCTGTTGTCCGCATGTGTGATTGCCTTCGGCATCAAAAAGTCGTTCTGGCTGAATCTGAGCTTCATTGTCATCAATGTGATAACCATTACCCTTGTCATTATCACTGGCACCACAAAATGTATATATACACATACATATATATATAGTTTTAGCTAAACATTCAACTCAGTCGACTTCCTTCATTAGCCACAACTGAAAACTGGTATCTCAAAACCAAGGAAGTGCAAGAGGACATAGGTGACGGCGGCTATTTTCCATATCCCGTTGGGAAAATGTTGAGGGGCGTGGCGATTTGCTTCTTCGGGTTCGTTGGATTCGATTGCATCACCTCGACGGCCGGCGAGGCCATCAATCCCACTCATAACATACCCATGGCCATTTTTGCCACGATGCTCATCGTATTCTGTACCTACTTTCTGATGAGCACCATACTGACTCTAATGGTGCCCTATTATCTCATCAACCCGATTACCCCATTGACGTCCGCCTTTCAATACCATAAAATGTACCATGTGCAAACGTGCGTCACAGTTGGCTCGGTGCTGGCATTGAGTGCATCCCTGCTGAACTCCATGTTTCCGCTGCAGCGCATCCTTCGGGCCATGGCCCAAAACGGCTTCATGCTCAAGGGCTATGCCAGTGTAAAGGGCTGGACAAAGTCAACGATGTTGGCCACCTTTCTCTTCACCATCATTGCGGGTAAGTTGATTGGAGTTCCTACAATCATATTTAAATATAAACAATCATTCATTTCTATTTCTGATGCCTTAGCTGGTACGCTGGTCCTCCATTTCGAATTCTTGATACAGCTCTCCGTTATGGGCGTCTTGCTGGACTATACCATCGTAGCCTTTGGCGTTGTTCTGCTGCATTACAAGAAAGATCGCAAATTTGTGGATGGGCCCGTGGAGGAAATCAGCTTTAAAGCGGTGATGCGTCAGATTTGCAGTGGACGACACAGCAAGAAAGCGAACATCGTGTCCGATTATATAGCACGTTTATTTCTAATCATTTTTGTCGTCTTCTCTGGGCTCTTCTGCTTGGCCTTCAAGTGCTTTACCATCATTAACCAGCTGTGGGCCATTGTGCTGGCCAGCTGTTCCGCCGTGTTGAGCATCGTCTGCATTATCATAATTGGCATACAGCCAAAGTCAAGTGTCTTGTCGCCATTCGAAACGCCTCTTGTGCCGCTCATACCCTGCATCAGCATTTGGGTGAATATTTTTCTGGTGTCCACATTGTCGTGGCTGTGCCTTGCGGTTTACTTGACCTGGATGATTGTCGGCTATGCCGTATACTTCGGTGTAATTACCGCAGATTTTTTAGGCAAAAGACTCATCAGGAACATGGCTAAACAGATGATTGACAGCTTCAAATTTCTGGTGTGAAATATATGTATTTTCTTATTATTATCAAAAATAACGCTATTGACTTGATGTCTTGCATGGCGGCTGAAAACTACTGCTGCAGTCGACTCCAAATAGTTGGCTAACCAGCTTAGTAAAATGGCAAATAAGCTGGCTTTGTGCACCCACGGCTTCCGACTCACGGCTCACGGCCCTCAGCCTTTGCCTTTATAACGCAGTTGGGTAAATAATACAGAGGCAAGTCAAAAACACAAACTCGAGCTGAAAAGCCAGATGAAAGTTGCTGGGATAATGCCAACACCAACACCAACACCAACACCAACACACACAAGCAAACTTGCTCATGTGAGCCAAAGGAGTACGGTCAACAAAGCCTCACTGAGAAAATAAAATCGTTTTTGTGTATCTTTCTTTAGACACGCTTTCCACTGGCCATTTGTTTTTGCTCTTTTGGGCGTCGGACTCATTTATACATTTTTCACATGCTGCGCCCTTAAAGTAACCGCTGGCAAGCGCTACATTTCTTGCAGTGTATTCTCTTTTGACTTTCTGTAGCATTTATTGTGCTCACATCTGCGTATGAATGCTATTTTTCACACGCTGTCATTTAGCGAAGCTGCCTTTTATTTCTGGCAAGATTAACACTCTTCGGTCTGAGCAGCTTAGTTTCAACGGGAGAAAGAGTTTGGCAAAAGGCATATAATTTTCAATTAACCGAAATTGCTTTTGTGCTGGCGATTTATCCAAAACTAAGTATATGATAGCTAAAAAAATTGTACATATATATTGATTAAAAAAAAAAATCCAATAGTCAGTCCAATAATAATTTTAAATTGTTTGCCTTTCGGCCAGCATGACGTATGTGCAATGCCATTGCGGCTGCCTCAAATTACAACAAGCGCTCAAAAGTATGCAATGCAGTTCGCTTCACGCAAGCGATCAAATAATAAAATTTGCAGCCTAAAAGCAGGCAATACAAAATCAACAATTCGACAGCCAATTGCTGCACGATGCTCTAACTGGGAAGAGAATATCAAAAAATGCATGTAAAACGAGAATATATAGCAACTAACAAAAATTATTAAAAGAACAAAAATACAGCTCATATTGTATAAGACTTTTGTGTATCAGAGCTGTTAAATAGTAGTTTACTAAGTTTTTTATTTTTGAGCGGGTGTTAAGTAAAAAAGGTGAGAGTATTTGCTGGGTTCAAGTGTTAGCTAAGCCGTGCCAAACAAAACGCTTTAGAAGACCACACTCACACACGTACACAGGCACACTCGCACACCACAAACAAGCACACACACACACATGCGCACACAGTGGGCGAAAGAGATAGGCGAATGCAAATGCAAATACAAATACTTATACGCGTGACTGTAGCTGTAAATAAATAAACAATAATTTGAGCCACGTTTATGTGTACATGAGTGTACATGTGTGTGTGTTTGTGTGCCAGCATAAAATGTAATGCAAACGGTATTGGTAGAGAGGCAAGAGGCTCAACATGAGAAGCGGCTTGGAGCGCTTGGCGCGTTGCGGTTTCATTTGTGAGTTTTAATTAAATACGTTTAAATATTTGTTATTTCCGACAGGCAGACAAACCAAACGACCATCAACAACAACAACAATAATAGCAGCAACAGCAACGGTGAGCTTCAGCAACAGCCACCTGGCAAATATTAGCGAAAAATTAGCAAAGTATTTTAAGCGCGACATGTTCGTTCTGTGGTTTTTCAGCGTCAAATCCTCTCTGGCCGTGCATCCATCCTCCTGTGGCACTCAACTCCCATCATGCACATCATTTTGTGTGCTCGTTGCGTGTGCATTTCATTTATTTATAAATAACGCATAATTAATTTAAAATGCGTGCCTGAAATTGTCGTTAAGTGCTTAATCCTGTAACATGCGACGGCCACGGCCACGGCTATGGCTACGGCTACGGCTACAGCTACGCCACTATCGTGTCCAATAAAGAGCAGCAGCAGCAACAACAACAAAAAATAAAACAATATTGACGATTTACTGCAACTATTTTGAAATTCAATTCTAAAACAATCCAGCTGCATTAGCATTTCTAATACACCAATTATACGGACATTGCAAACATTCGTAACTGAAACGAATATTTGACATATTGCAGGAGCTTTGTTTAGAACTGTAAAAGATTTGGCTTGAATCATAGGATAAACTGAGAAATTTGTGTGCATTATTATTAGCATTCGAGTCTTTGATCTGAAAGAGAAATTAAATATTTAATTGAAGTGTTAAAATATTAAATAAAAATATTATTATAAATTTTACAGTTCATTTATAATATATGCAGAATTTAATAATAATATTACTCTCAATTAAATAAATTAAACAAAATTTTCATAATACATTTTACAGTTTATTTATAATATATACAGAATTTAATAATAATATTACTAACAATTAAATAAAGTGCGGCAATCAAGAATCAGATTATTTTATCCTTATGTAGATAAAAGTTCATGACTTAAAAATATTGCTTTACTTCTAAAATAATTTTGTATTTTTCTATATTTTACAGCTGATCAAGTAGTAGTAGTATTTAATATAATATAATTATTTCATTAATTATTTAATATAATATAATTATTTCTTTAAATTAGGTAATCTGTATAACTATCGTATATTTCAGATAAATATCACAGATGACTTTGGACTGCATCTATATTATATTTTTACAAGAAATAAATAATTTATATCTCTATATTTCTTTTACATTTTATACTATCTTTCACTTCCTTTTCAGTTTCTATTTCTGCTTATGTCAATTTACTCATTTGACAAGCTGTCAATAAATTATAAAATTGAAGCATTTCCTTAAATCCAATACCTCCATCAACTCATAGCACCCCTAACTCGGAACTCATCTTTAGGCCACAATAATGTTTAAAACAACTTCTGAGACCTGCGAAAAATTTGCTAACGATTATCGCCTGACTATTTCGGGCCACGCCCGCAGAGCCAACGCCGCTCTCGCTCTCTCCCTCTTTCTAACTGTTTAGTGTCCGTGCTCAAAGTCAAAAAGTTTGCAAATTTAACATGCGGTCAACAAAATGAAATTAACTTTTGGCGCGAATGAAATGATGCTGACCGCAGCCCGAAATAGGTTTTCCATTTTTTTTTTTTTCAAAATTTAATTGGAAAAATATGTGAAACTGAGTTGGAAAGCGAACGCCTGGGGGCTGGACTCTATAAATACCCGAATAATAGGTCGATCTGCATCAATTAAGAACATAATCCGCGCATTATTCGGATAGTATATAAATATTATTTGACAGCGACCCGAACAGCAAAAACTGTCGTCGAGTGGTTAGCTGCTGCAGCTGAGAGGGGGCGCAGTGATGCAGGGGGCGTGGCATGGCGTGGCTTGTGCAGCAATCCAGGCTGGGGATTAAGGGACCATTATGTGAACATTTTCAACATATGCTAAACGAGTGGAATAAAAAAAGACAACAACTTTTGAACCATGTCATGTGGCGGGTCTTAATGATGTCGCTGATGAGGACAGCGAATGCGGATCCGGATGCAGATGCGGATGCGGATGTGAATGAGGATGTTTTTCCGCTGGGAATGGGCAGCAGCTGATGATAATGTTGATGACAGGTGCTGCATGACATTTATGAACTGCAAGGACACACAAGCCAAAACCCAGCTTGAATAGCCGTGATTAAAATGTGGAGAAATTGATTTTACTTGTGAGTACACAGACTAGGAAGTGGAAGCAATAAAAACTATGCATCTTTGGAAATTTATAGAAATATATCATATTTTTATTTTATTTTTGTGAAAATTCAAATTGTCGTTAGATTTTTTAAAATCTGCATATCTATTACTAGTAATAGTAGTATATTCTACTACTATCTACTACTAATATCTATTATTAATATCTATTACTGCTATCTACTACTACAATTTACTACTAATATCTATTATTACTATCTACTACTACTATCTATAACTAATATCTACTACCAATATCTATCACTAATATTTACTAATATTTTCTACTACTAATTTTCTACTACTTATATCCACAAATACTATGTACTAAAGCAATCTTTTACTTTTATTAATGACTGTAGTCTACTGTGTCTATCTTAATTATTATCTACTACTCTTTCATTGAACTAGCAACTGTCCTCTACTTCCCACCTTTATCTACATCTACTATTTATTACTACTATTTACTACACTTCTATGCATATTATGCTACTTTCTATTGTTATTACTACTACTATTATTTGTAAACTCTCATACCTTTGTATTTTTCCTAAACTTTCTATCTATTGTCATGCAAATATATATCGTATATTACACACTCCTACCTAGGCCAATTGTTTTGCATTTGTTTTTGATTAGCCATGCACAACTTCCATTGCATGCATTGTCCATGAAAAACCAGTTGATGTCCTTTTGATCTTTTCATTACGGTCAACAGAATATACATACTATAATCATAGTTGGCCCAGTCCGCCGTTGCCTATTTTTGTTGTCATTGCTGAAAGGTGCCAGCTGTGCAACAGTGCGTATGATGAATTTGGTTAAATGCCTCAATGCGCGACTCTGCCTCCACAAAACCGAAAAAGCATTTCAGCTATGTGCAGGCCACACACACACACACCCACACCCGCACACATTCCTATTTACCCTTGTTAAATATTATTTAGCTTGTTTATTTTGTCAGCCGCCTGCTGTGCATAAATAAATATAAATTGCAAACCATTTTTATGCGTTTATATATTTAGTCACATCAAATGCAATTAACGCGCGTTCAACTGGCCCAAAAGTTGGCAGCTTAATTGCCAGTCAGCATAATAGATTCGAAAATATTTGTTACAGCATTAAAAGGGATTCACTGACAGGAATATTTAACAGTTAGTCTTTCGCCTTTCACTATGCTATCTGTGCCTATACATATATATATAATTTTGGGCTCCCATCTAATTGGATATGTTGGCCGCGTGAAGACTCAATTTACTTGTAGCCTGGCTGGACAAATTTGGGT